GCCGTTCATCATATGAACATGAAAAATTTTGTATGTTCAGGTGAATAACAGATATTCACCTATCTAAACGGAAAAGCAAAAGAAAAAACTTGTATTTCCATACTAAATGTGTACTGTGTTCTGGATTATTAGACGATCATTTACAGAGAACTGATAGCATGTTTATGGATATAATATCATGAAAATTCTTAAATATAAAGAAATGATGAAAGCTTGAAAAGTTGAAATCATAATTTGGAAATACGAAGTTTTTCACGCTGTACAATAAAAAGTACCATTAATCATCATCTTAGGTGAGAAAAATATGAGAAGCAGAAAAAGTTAATATTGACTAAATTCTGCAGTGAGAGGAATAAACCATATCCATTATGGCTTTCTTTGTCCTACTTGAAACAGGAAAAGCGATGTAAGACTTTATTTCAATATTTATAGAATTCCTGAAAGCTGAGAAAGAGCCTGTGTAACTTTGAAACATTATGTATTTTCAGGTACATCAATATCCCTTAGCGAGATCATTCAAGATCTGGAGATGACAGGAGGTTCGAGTAAAAATATTATGCAGAATTAAACTGTATTTTCCAATTCAACTGGACAAAACAGCCAAAGATGACAAGTGTGATGAAGAACAGCACCTTTATTGGAATTCCCATAGAGCACTGTGAAGAAGAAGTGTCACAGACTGAGAAAAACACAGCAATATATTCACAACGATAATGCCATTATTTTCAAGGGTACATAGAATGTTCATATTTGCAGAACTTCTTCCCACGAGAAGGCGCACATGAATCCACAAATGAATGACCCAGAACAATAAGTAGCTAAGGCGAGAAGAACTTAGCTGCTTCCTTGCCCAAAGTTGTATGTTAAATCCAAATACGCGTATATGTATGAAATATTGCAAAATTGTGTATAAACTTTAAAATTATATAAGGGGTACAAACCACGTAGTTTGCCTGCATATTATAATACATGATTATATTATATTTACAGTATGAAAAGAAAAAAAACTACAACATATATATTGTTTAAACTTTGAAAAGCTAGCTCAGAATTTCAAACATGGATAGTGAATAGATGTTAAAGCAATCCATCAAATTAGGAGCTGATGTGAATATCTGGAACAGCCAATATGTTTGTTTGTTTGTTATTAAGCACAAAGTTACACAATGAGATATCTGTGCTCTGCCCACCAGGGATACCGAAACCCGATTTTTAGTGTTGTAACTCCGCAGACACACCGCCATGCTACTGGGGGGCCACAAATTTGCTAAAAATGAGCAAAATCTCTGATAGGATTTTCAGTAGCGTTTATTCTCCAAGAAAACTGTTGTAAGACAGTGAAAGTTGATAGGGAATGAGGAGATGTAGGGGACCGTGTAGCTATTGAGTAGAGAAACTTGGCAGAAATGACAAAGCAGATGAGTCACTTCTTCTTCAAAGCAGCCCATTTCACAGTAGAGATGTGATCAAGATTTCTACTGTCTGATTTTGGTACGTTTATACATTAAATTTAGTAACAATTTTTGAATTTTGCTTCAACATAAAACTACATTTTACATCAATAAGTAAGAAATACCCTTAAAATATTACAATTACGAAATACTTCTCTAATTCAGACTTAAGCACTTATTTTAATCCTAGTATAAACTGGAAGTTAAATGGTGTGAATAAGAAAAGAGCGGGAAACTTAAAAAGCAACAATATAATTATTTTCTGGTAAAAATGACCTATTTTGTGAATTAGACCGCTTATGCATAAATGATGAAATTAGCCCTAAGCACCTCTCACCAATTATCTTCTAAGTTACAAATAAGAATAATTTAAGATCACCTTTAGCTAAGACTATTCTTCATCCTTAGTTTATTTAACTAGGAGAGCATTGAAAAGAGTATTTTTATGTACAACGCTCTCACAGTAATTAAACTAATGAGAAATATATGAAATATAATTTGAACTGTTCGCAATGTGTGTGACTTTTGCGCAATAACGAGCAAAAAGAAACTGTGTTCCTCGTATTGAATATTTTCTATTACCATACATGGACATGGTCTTGAAAGGGATCAGAGTACATGAAGTAGCATAACCTCTGATTCTCGTGCTGTAATCAGTAAAACTATTCTAGAACACCAAACAAGTGAATGCGTAGGGAGGAACAGGTCCAAGTGAACCTGACCTTTACAGGTCTACCAAAAGATCTAAACACCGATGAAGGAAACCACCAACTAACTACATATTACAGTATATTTTGATATTTATGGAAAACAAGCCAAAATGGTGAAAATTTTATTTACAGTCTTTGACTTGTAGAATTTTGTTGTGGTGTGAGTTTTGTTCAAACCCAACTATTTACAATAATTACTACAGCAACAATATACGGGCTATTCTATAAGATATATAATATATTCTATATAATATATTTTCAATATATGAGAAAGTTTAATATAAATTTGTTTTTCTTTTTCAGGCTACTAAGTTAGCATGCCAATTTGGTCTGAATCGGTCAACTTATTTAGGAGGAGGCCCGGCATGGCCAGGTGGTTAGGGCGCTCGACTCGCAATCTGTGGGTCGGGGGTTCGAATCCCCGTCACACCAAACATGCTCGCCCTTTCAGCCGTGGGGGCATTATAATGTGACGGTCAATCCCACTATTCGTTGGTAAAAGAGAAGCCCAAGAGTTGGCGGTGGTTGGTGATTAGCGCAGAGAGCCCTCGTGAAGCTTTGCGCGAAATTAAAAACAAACATATTTAGGAGGAGATGCGTCCACAGACAAACAAAAAGTTTTCTTTGATAATGGATACTTATCGCACCGGTATGGCTTAATAAATAAAGCGCATATGTGAAGAACGCCTGTATCCCGATTTTTATACTCAGCTGGATGATTTTAATAACTATTTACGAAGTAATTATTTTGAAGTATTTTTCTTTGTTTGTGTTTAAGCGCAAAGCTGTACAGCGGGTTATCTGCGTTGTGCCCTCTACGGGTAATAAAGGACGATTTTTAGCCTTCAAGCTTACCGCTTGGCCCTGGGGCACTCTCTTAAAGCAGAACAGATTTTCTTCTCTTACAAGATCATAACATTACGATGTATATAGACATTTGGTGGAATAATTTCTTTCATTGTTTATCTTTCGTGTAGAATTAATTCAGTTAAATATTTTGAAGGCAAGATTACATAGTTTGCGCTTGATCTTGCATGTAGCTAATTTATGAAAAAAAAAAAACTGTTACAAAAATTATGTTTAATAATGGCTGGAGACGGCTTGAATGGGTAATGAAGAAAAACTTTAATATAAGTTTAACATAACAGCAAATGTACAACGTTTCGACAAGGTTTTGTCATCATCGAAACGTTGTAC